CCTAAAGACATTCTGGTGAGATTTAATTTTTTGCATGTTAAACAACAATTTATGTCTACACTGAGACAAGGATTTATCTTGCCAGGAAAAAAATGGACAATTACTATTTTTCCCGGACTTGTCTCCTACCAGTCTTTTAAATTGAAGAGAATTCTCCTCTGTTACTGAGAAAGTGCGGTCCAGGAATGTTAAATATAGATGGGGTTTCCCTACTAAACTATTGCTCTGACATGAGAGAGAAAATGTTGTACTAAATTTCCCTGAGGTAGGAGAATAATTAATGAACAAATGCTCAATTACAGATACTCCTACAGGTTCTACTTCCAAGAAACAGAGGGGAAAGGTTGAAAAGAAAGTGGACTTGTTTCTATATGTGTAAATTTTCCTGAACTTTCGTGTTGTAGCAGAGCGAGGTGTTTGACCTGAAACTTCAGTAATGACTCACATGCCTTATTCTATTTGATTCCAAGTTGCAAATTCCTTTTAACCCCTTAAGGCAGGGGTTCTCAACCCAGTCCTCAGGACCCCCTACCAGTCCAGGATTTGGGGATTACCTGGGTGTGTCTCAGGTGTTTAGAAAAAGGGGGAAAAAAACCTTAGACTCTAAGGTGTTTGTTTTTTTTAAACACCTTAGACACACCCAGGTAATCCCTAAACCCTGGACTGGTAGGGGGTCCTGAGGACTAATGTTGAGAACCCCTGCCTTAAGGACACAACTTCTGGAATAAAAGGGAATCATGACGGAATATTTCCGTCATGTGTCCTTAAGGGGTTAAGATATTACTCTTGGGCCGCACTGACTTTAACTTGTTTGACTTTCTCCAACATTGACTTTTAAGGCACCCAAGATGTTCTGCAGCAGTTATGGTTTCTTTCTGGACTATAATGTGTGTTACAAAGGCGTACACACCCTAAAGCACAAATACATATGCCGCATGTATATGATAGATAGATGGATATTTACACACACACACTCTCTCTCACACACTCCCGCACTCATATAAATATCAATATAAACAAACATTTAGCTAAACAGGCAAAGTAGCCACACAAAAAAAAGCACAGGGGTTGAGACCACTTTATTCCTGGTGGAAAGGGGCTCTAGAAGGGGATCAGGGGCTGTGGTGGGGGATAGGGTATGTACAAGGAGGGACAAAGTCTGTTGGGGGGCACGGGCTGTAGAGGGATGCACACTGAGGAACTGTAGAGGGGGACACACAGAACTGTAGAGGGGGCACACACAGGGGCTGTAGAGGGAGGGACTAAGAGGGGGCACAAGAGCTGTAGAGGGGGCAGGGGCTAAAAAAGGGGTGGGCTGGCAGCCTTAGGCCTGGGAGGCAAAACCAGTCAAGTGGCCCATTGCACCACCAAATCAGTTCACCATCCATGCCCACCTTTTCCTGGTTTTATAACGGATATTGATGTTATGCTCATCAGTAGCTCTTTGCCATACCCGCTCCTTCATGGCTCTGACTTTCAATGTTGTCAGAGCGCAGGCTGGGAATCTCTGAGCCTGTTCTCCGACTAACTGAGCGCTGGAACCACGAGGGAGAGGATATAATCTGACTGCACCTACTGCTGGTACGCACCAGTGGACCACCAGCGAATCATTTAAATTCATTGAATCATTTAAATTGAATATGCTGGTGTCCCCAACTTGTGAGCTGTGTTGGCCGCCGGGCGCCTCTGTTGTGATGGCACCCTGCGTGACCGCACAGCTTGCACACCCCAACGGCTGGCCCTGCTGACACACACTGATGTTACTACTTAGAAATCCCTCAATATTAATACAGACATCAGCGTAAAACTGTGTAAACAGAGCTGATCCCCCTAAATTTATAAAGATTTGCTTAGTGGATTTGTTGTAAGATTAAATCATTCCTCCTCCTCTCTCTCTCCCATGCACTGCTCTGTAGGCTGGGAGGAAGTGAAGAGTAATCACAATCTCCCAGCACAGCGGCACCGGTGGCTGCATGGGGAACAGCTGAATTTGCCAGCCCCCACGTGACATCACAATGCCCCACCCATATGATCTGCCATATGAACTAACGCCAGTGCTGCACACAGTGTGTGTTTACATTAAAAAGCCTGCAGGGACCGGCTATAGACACCAGAACCACTTCATTAAGCTGCAGTGGTTCTGGGGACTATAGTGTCCCTTTAATGTGAGGTAAATTATAGATTAGTGTCACTAATAATATACTAGATTGCCTACTTACAACCAAATGAGGATGATGATGGGCTGCAGTTTGGCTCCACTGGTCTGGTGTAGAACAGGATCTCTGGAGGCTGTTTGCAGCTGTGGTCACAAAATTCAATGTTCTGGGAGAATTGGAAGCAGCTCCATTTTTTTGGGGCCCCTTACACAGCTCAAGGTCTGGGCCCCAGGGCCTGACGGTGAGTATGCCCATAAGGCCCACTCATAAGTCCACTTATATGTTCCACCCACCCATGAGTTCGCTCACAGGGAGTGGAGTGTGTAGGGGATCTAATATGTGTGCTTATGGTATGTAGTGTAAAGGGATACCAGTTTGTGTAGGTGTTGCAGTGTGTATTTGTGTATAAAGGGATGTATTGTGTGTTTCTGGTTGTGTGTAAGGGATGCATTGCGTGAATCTGTAAATTGTATGCATTAGGGATGCAAGGTGTGTGTCTGTATGTGTGTGCATTGAGTGTATGTAAGAGATGCATTGTGTTTCTGTGTGTATGTAAGAAAAGCAGTGTGTGTTTGCATGTGTGTGTAAGGGTTTGCATTGTGCGTTTCTGTGTATGTGTGCAAAGGATGCATTGTCTTTGTGTGTAAGGGATGCATTGTGTGTTTCTCTGTGTGTAAGGGAAGCATGTTGTGTTTCTGTGTGTGTAGGGATGCATTGTGTGTTTTTGTGTATGTATAGGGATTGTGTGTGTGTGTGCACGTAGTGTGAAAGAGCTCCCTGTCTCTCCCCCTGTCCTATAGAGCTGTCCCTTCTGCTCTCCCCCACCCTCCCCTAGTGGTTTCTTTTCACACTCACCCACCCTCCCTGTGCTCTTCTCATCCCCCACCCTTCACCCTCCATGTGTTCTTCTCACCTCCCCCTCCCTGTGTCCTCATCTACTCCCCCCCTGTGTTCTCCTCATCTCCCCTTCTCCTCACCCCCCTCCCTGTGTTCGTCTTAACCCCTCTCCTCCCTGTGTCCTCCTCACCTCCCCCCTCCCTGTGTTCTCCTCACCACCCACCCTCCCTGTGTTCTTCTCAGTGCCCCCGTTCTCCTCATCTCCCCTTCTCCTCACCCTTACTTCCCCCTCCTCCTTGTGTTCTTCTTACTTCCCCTTGTTCTTCTTACCTCCCGTTTTTCTTACCCCCGTTCTTCTTACTCTCCCCCGTTCTTCTTACTCCCCTCCCCTTCTTCTTCTTACTCCCCCGTTCTTCTTACTCCCC